GACAGTTAGCCGACAAGACACTTAGTCAACAGGACATTTAGCAGACACAGATAGTTAGCCGACAGGACATTTGGCCAACACAGAGAGTTAGCCCTCAGTACATTTAGCTACAGGACACTTAAGTGTCAAGTCATTTAGTCAACAGGGCGTTAAGCCGACAGTGACGTTTAGCTGACACGTACCCAATAATTATTCAAATTTACTATCAATTACAAAATTTCTCAACTTCTCCATAAGTTCAATATTTAAATCATTTTTTTCACCTATCAGCAAAACTCATTTTTCGATTCTTAAAGATGTCATATGTGCCTTTAATTATTGTGTGGTGTATATTGACTAAATTGAAAAAGCGCTGAAATTTTTCGTCAGGGAATATGAATTAAATATCGAAAGGAAAAAAGATTTTTTTACCTAATTACGGCAGTCCTTAATTACATTTTAATATGGGATTTTCAAATTATCCGTAAGCTTCTCATTAATCAAATGGGTTCTTTGAACACTTTCACATCATTAATATTTTTCTTGTTTACTTAAGATATTAATTTTCCAATCTGGCTCTTCTTAATGCTTTCAATTTGTAGGAAATTAAAACCCGATACTGTAACATTTTAATGACTACCTCTCTCTCTAAAATATTTACTTAGGTTAATGTTTATAACACTAAACTGTTGCATAATGTTAATTTAGAATTAAAAGACTCTTTAAGGTTTTATTTTATTCAGAACTGAATACTTTCCGCAAAAACTACATTTTCTTCTTCTATCGTAAACGCTGCGATATGCACTCCGCTTTTATTTTTCTAACCGCGCCTACTAAATGGGGGATCGTGTTAAGGTCGGCAGAAGCCTTTTGAATATGATTTATTCGAATTGTATAGTGCAGGTTTTAGTTCACTGTAAAAATATACATAGATTTCTCTTTTCCTCCATAATTATTCTCTCATCATTTTTCTCTCATCAGGCGATAGAACTCCAGGATAAACACCATATATCCCAGTATTGCAGTTCTCTCTCTTTACATATATATAGTATACACAATCATTTTTTTTCCCTAAACAAAAATTATGCAATAATTCAGCTCTCTCAGTATTAATTTTTGAAGTTTTATAATAATGGCCATAGTTAGCAGGTAAAAATGTGTTTGCCTGATTCCGACATTTTAATGGAGTTGCTTATTTTTTATCTTAAGAATGGTAAATAACTGCCGGTTGATGATGAGGTGACAATGATTTCTAAACATCTCTTTTCGGTCACTATAACCTTGAAAGTTCTCTTTATTACTTTTTTAATAGCAAAATAAAATAGAGATGCTAATCTAACACTAAACGGCCAATATTTCCTTTAAAAGCATAATTCAAAAATAATACTTACTTCGGTATTCAGGTTTGGGACATTTTCGAGCAACGCATTTATAAAGGTTTAGCCTAAAAAAGCAATTTTTATCGGAAGAGAGTAGTTCTATATTAAGTAAAATGGTCACTCTATTTTTGATAGGCCCAGTAGCATCTGAGCGGTAAAGTCGTAGAGCACTGGTAGTTCGGTCCGAATTTCGAATCCCGCGAATGGACTGTCCTTAGTTTGGGTGTTTCCTTAGTTTTCCCCATATTTAACGTGTATACGAGCCAGTTTTCCTTAGATCGGCCTCCACGAAGGCATCCCTTCCCTTAGGCAGATAGCCTTCTGGCTTTGTCATAATTACATAAACCAAACCTACTTCTGTTAGGTGGCCGCAGTGCTATGTAGCTAACCCAAAAACGAGAAAGAGAAGGAATGAAAGAGAAAAAAAAATATAATAAATGAAAATGAAATGAAAATTTATACATTTTTAACAGATATTGAGAAAAGTTATATTTTATAAGAAAAACATTAATATAACATATTATACTGAAAATTACACATCGCGTTTTCAAAACATGTACATAATATTTCTATTTACAACGACTGATCTAGTTAAATCTACACGATAGATCACCACATTACGGTGACTTTTTCACGATCTGACGCTTTGCTCCACCCTACTTGGTTTGTGGCCGCCTCCTTCTGCAGCTTCAGTTATGAATAAAACAAAACCTTAAAGAATATTTTATTTCTAAATTAAACATTATACACTAGTTTAGGGCTATAAGTATTTTAAGCGAGAGGCATGGTCAATAAAACGTTACAGAATTATTATCTCAAGGATGGTGGCATGAACAACAAATTATAGATGTCACAAATAATTTATACCTTTGCTGGTATTAAAAATTCACTTTTTAAATTAGCTTTAATAACAAAATAAAATTTATTTGCTAAATTAACCCTCATTGCCATATGTTTCTATAAAAAAGTATAACTCAAGAATAACAAAAATTTTTATTGCATTATTCAGATTTTTCATGACAGGGAAAGGAAATTTCATTAGTGGGAGGAGACAAATGATTTTTTAAGGGAAGGAATGTATCACGATGTGATGAGCAAAATAGTAATGAAACATAAAGCTATTAGAAATTTGAAAGCATTTGGAAGAGCAAGATTGGAAAATTAATATCATTACGTAAACAAGAAAAATTATTAATGATGTGAAAGTTGATTAAATGAAGAACCTTTACGGATAATTTTTGAAGATCCCACATTAAAATGTAATTAAGTAACCACCATACTTAGTTAAAAATATTCTTTTTCTATTCGAAATTTAATTCATATTCCCTGACGAGAAATTTCAGCGCTTTTTCAATTTGGCCAATATACTCCAAACAGCACGATACACATCAAACAATGCTAAATCAACATAATAATTAAAAGCACATATGAGATCTTCAAGAATTGAAAACTGAATTTTACTGAGAGGCGGAAAAAATAACTTAAATATTGAACTTATGGAGAAGTCGAGAGATTTTTGTAACTGATGGTAAATTTAAATAATCATTGGGTACGTGTCAGCTAAATGTCACTGTCAGCTTAGTGTCCCGTTGACTAAATGTCTTGACAGTTAACTGTGCTTGGCTAAATGTCCTGATGGCAAATTCTGTGTGTCAGCTAAATGTCCTGTCGGCTAAGTGTCCTGTCAGCTAACTGTCCATGTTGGCTAAATGTCCTATCGGCTAACTGTCCGTATCAGCTAAATGTCCTGTCGGCTAACTAGTGTCGGTTAAGCGTCCCGTCTGCTAAGTGTTACAGACACGGGAGAAATACCTTATATACTCCCCCTTTTAAAGGGCAACTGGGGATTTAGGGGACCCAATCGACAAATCCTGGTGGTGAAGAATCGTCATTCACCACCTTTTAGTTCGGGCACCACAGTAGAGACATTAGGTTATTTCGTAGCAGGAGAGATGAAAAATGAGCAACGCCTTTGCCGGGACTCAAACCATAGGCCTCTCGAATACGTGCTGAGCATGCTGACCACTACACTACAAAGGCATGCTAAGATGGCGGGAGAAATACCTTATAAAGTAATATCAAATTTGAAGATTCCAAAGCAGGAATAATGATTTATGCATATTCTAATGCTACAGGAATGCACAATTAAAAACATTTTGCAATTCAAAAAAATGCATCACTTGAAGCAGCATTTTAGAAGGCGTAAATATTTTACGCATCGTCTTATCAGTCAAATTCACAGAATCGATGACACAAACATTAACGAAAGGTTTGAAAATCATTTCATAGAGACTTGGAAACATTTGAAATTGTTTTTTTTTAACTGATGATCCAACATTTGTCCTTATTATGGATAACTGGTTGGCTCATATTTCACTTCTAGTTTTGTAAAAGGCTTACTGGAATGCTTCGATCTTATTCTTTCCTCTATACATATCCATTATTCAGGCAGAGGACACTGAAGTTCTACACATGCTGAAATGCAGATATATAACAGCTATTTTAAAATCTATGCTACGTTTTTTTTTCTGGAGAATTGAAAGAACATTAGAAATTTTTAAAAGTATTTTAACATAAAATCTTCAGAGTGTAAAGCATTGCAAGGTCTTAGACGGGCATCTCGGCAGATATTTTAAAAAATGCTTGGCATAATTTATGGCCAGTTATCATCTTTCATAATTATGATGACAGCCATGAATTCTCAAATATAAGCAAAAGGTGAAATTTTTCAATTAATGGAATTTGTTAACAGATGTGTGTGTGTGTGTGGGGGGGGAATAATAAGAAGATACAACAGAACTTTTCTACAGTTATGACAATGCGTCAATCAATAATTCTGAATTTCTTCCTATAGTTAATTTTATAATTATATGATGTGTCTGAAAAATTAATTTGTCCAAATCCTTTTAGACATTATTCCAAACATACTGAATTTCACAGTTGGTTTGTTTACATTCTGTACAATGGGCAAGCATGTTTACATAGTAGATAGTGAATAGGGATAATCTTGAAAATAGGTTTAGTACACAATTTTCCGGAAAAACGGAAAATACAAGCACAGAACAAAACTGCAGAATGACTTCAGGAATTCAATTTGGGAAATCTTTAATGCTCAAGATTCTGTAAAAAGTTTATTTTTCTGTCCCTTAAAGTCCATAAAAATCACTTTTAAAGTAATGGATATAAGTTATAGGTGGATATAGCATTTTAACATTAATTTCCCTAATGCATTTTTATAAAAATCACTATCTCCTAATAAAATATCCCTATTTTATCTCACCACCATGCTTTTCACTTTTACTGACATTATTTCCTTTGTATGTTGTTTTATTTAAAAAATATGGTAGTTTTCCCTTTTCAATAAACATTGGTTAAATAATTCCTAAGGCATGAACATGCTTTAGTTAGCTGTTTACATGCAAACTATTCAGATTTAATATAAAAATTAGAGAAAAATACAAACAAAGCTCAGAAAAACATGACTATAATGCACAAAATTCATTAATCCATATAACCACTAGTCCCACGACGTACAGATTTTTGGAATCATTAGTATTGTCATAGGTAAAGCTAACTATAAAACATTTTCTTTACAAAATAATTAAAAATATAAACAGGTGATATATATATATATATATAGACCTGTCTTCTGCAACTTTTAATCTGAATTCCAGTTTTCTCACTGACATCATCAAGATCTTTTCGATTTCTAGCAGACAGTTTCTTGCCAAGAAATTCTCGGATAACTGTATCATCAAATTCATAATACCTAAAATGCAAAGAACAAGACAGCATGCATAACAAACAAAGGAAAATAAAAGAGCAATTAATACATTTAACACTGAGATATTTTACAATATAAAAGGTTCCTTAAAACTGAGCTATGAGAGATTTTATTTTTTAGAACCATACACATAAAAATAATTTTAGAAAATAAATTTAAAGAAGTTAAAGCTGATTTATGCTCATCCAAAAAGTAATGGATGTATTTTTAAAACATATCTACATGCTTATAGATGTGATTAGAATAGACAGCTCAACTATATCTCTTTCACACAGTTGGCTGTAGATTTATGGTTCAAGTTAAAAAAAATGAATCAAACAATGTAAATTTTCGGATTACGATAATTTTGGTCACATTCACATCTTTAATGAAAAATATACATGGTTCACAAAAAGTGTCAAGTTGATTTTAAAAAAAAAACTTCACCTTTGTATGATCAAAACTACCAGAGAAATCCTTAATCAGACTGCATGCAAAAAATTACAATAAAGATCTAAGTGTTTAAATTTTTTCATATACATTTCTAAAAAGTAACTTTTATACAGTACAAAGTCTGTAATCTTGACTCGTCAGGACTTCGGCGATTCTGGATTATAGATCATCAATTTAAATCTGGTAAGATGGCATGCAGAAATTATACAATTAAAAATATGAAACCATAATTTATGAAATAAAGAGCAATTATTATCTAAAGGATATAAAATTTTACAAAAAAAAAAAAAAAAAAAAAAAAAAAAAAAAAAGAAGCTTAATATTTATTTGTTTACTTTATTAAACACTTCTTTCAACGTGCGCATGCGTAATGTATGCACATTCTTTACGTGCATGCGTAAAGTTTGTGGCTTTGAGGTCTGGATTATAGATCATTCCAGATAATGGACATCAGGATTACGAACTTTTTACTGTACTAGCATACATAAACAATACACCTGCTATCCCAAATCTGGCTTATTACGAACAAACTTTCTGATCCTTTCCAATTTTTTATAAACTTAATGTTATTTTATACTGCTTTAGTGAACCACTAAGTCTATGAAAATTGGATTTAACAAACCATCAAAATTTTTCATGCTTTTTCTAGAATTTCTGCAAGTTTTAGCAAAAAAAATTACTCTCACACATTTAAAATTAAATTATTAACTCATAGTAATCACATGCATTTACAGTGGTAGGATCCACATTACATTTGCAAAGGAAAACACCTTCATCACCTTTCTTTTATCTTCACCATCATTTTTCTGTGCATTCTAAATAATGGCTTTGCAAAAGAGGTGTAAATCCAAATCTAGAGGAACGAGGATCAAATAAGCTTATCTTAGGACACCATATAGTGAACATGATCTTTAAATCAAAGAATGTCAAATGGTTTTCAGATACCATTCAGATTCTCTGATTGAGATGTCAGACAGAGCTCTACTTAAAGTTGATGTTAAGGTGAAGATTTTGAATTTTTTTTTTTTTCAGATATTAGAGGCACGATCAAGAGTGTGAAGTATCATTATAGGATGCAGTTGGTTTTAAGCATTTCGGAGAAGTACAACAAACATGTCGATTACAATGTCTTACTTCTTGATTTAGAAAATCTTGAAACCTTATTGTCTTGAATCAATGCTGGTCTAGCCGATGGCGTTGAATATTAAAACAAGGATTGACCTATCTCTAAGTGGCTGGGGGGAAAATGGCATTTATATATTCTCAGAATACGATAAGGAGTTTTTCAAACATGCTATGATAATGTTGTTACATGTGAAGATCCACATGATGAAAATACTGTCTGTGATAGAAATTAAAATGAGAAATGCTGACATTGAATATTCTTCTTCTGATGCTGATGAAAATGCAACACACATGAACATGAATTTTCTACCACTTCAGATACCAAGGCTTTCATGCATTTCATCAATAAGGTTTTATTCATATAAATTGTAAAACTGAAAGTGATGGAATCGTTTTAATTTTGGATAAATGTAGGTATAAAATTTTCCTGAAATCTGCATCACACCAATAGAAAATTAGATTATTTTTATACTCAAAAGTTATGTAAAAGTTAAGCTCATAATTATTTTTGTTATTAATTTTAAGTGTTTTCATATTTTCATGGATAAAATTAATTAGTTACAAATGTATAATATGAGGGAAGGAACAGAAGCATGATATATCATGGTTTGTACACAATTCTGCACATGGGAATTAAGCACTTTCAAGGGCCATTAATGAAAAAAAATAAAGGACCCATCGAGAAATGAATAAATATAATTAAAGATATTAGTTATGCCTGAACTTCACTTTTGTGATACCATCCTAAGAATAAAATAAATCCACAAGTAGAATGCATTATTATTACACCTAATTTAATAAACATAAATATAAAACAAATTTGAAAATAAAATCAACTTTATAAAATTTATCAGGTATCATTGAATATTTATTAAATATTTATATAAATTAGCTGGACATATTTGAAAGAAGATTAGTGACATTTCATTTACGATTTACAAACAGTTAGCTTTATGTTGATTTTTTTTATGTCTTATTTTGTCACATAATTGCTCAGTTTGGAGGATTAGTAAAATAGCAGGTAGATTTTATGCCAAATGGCATAGGTTAAAATGAGAAGTAAAATCATAATCAGCATGATTCGTTACAGAAGACAGTAGTTAGTTTAAAACTAATGACCAACTATGTTAGCTTCGACTAAATCTCTTAGCTAGTTATAGTTAGTTCTTACTTCTTATTTTTGAGTTCAAGCCAGAGTGGAGGCTTTGTTGCAAGCTCGAAGAAAAGGCCAACATTTCATTTTATTTTGATTGAAATAAAGGGTAATTAAGCCTTCTTGAGTTTATGGTTGCTGTTCTTAGAACTAAGCGATAATTTGCTTAACAGTTCACTAGGTTCCTTGACATTTAATTTAGTAGAATCAAAGTGAGGGATTCTACAAATTTAATTAAAAAAATATTTGTTAAAAAGCCCTATTAAAATCACACTATATTAACATGTCACAGTTTAAAATACATGTAATTTACAACATTGATTCTTAAACGATATTAAAATAACTAAACATTAAGAGCTACAAAATAGTTACGTTCTGTAGCAACATTAAAGAAAATTTTTGTGCACCTTTTTAATTTGAAGCCTTTTCAGACATTAAACGACCCCAAAACCTTAGTTTAAAAACTAAATGACTTTCATTCTAGTGAGGAGAAATGAAAAGGGAAAATTATAGTAAATGCTGAAATTATAAACAACTGCTTAATTTACATAATAATAACTGTACATATCTTCAAAGAATAATTTTTCTTTTTCTTTATGTATTCGGTTTCTTTCTTTAATACATTTTCTCTTCATTTTAGAATTTTTGGAATTAAAGATTTCTGTTAATTCTAAAAAACTAAATGCATTTAGAATGTATAGGAAAAAGGGTGCTAATTTTATTTCTTTAGTAATATGAACATTCAGAATAAATACGAAATGATATATGGTAAGAGCCGGTTACAGAGCCAGTAAGCAGAATTTTTAGAATTTAGTAACACACTAAGCAAAAAAATTTAGAAATGGCAAACTTTTAGAATTTAGGGAGGCACAGAGTTGCATCAGGTGGGATGTGTAGCACCAGCCCTGTGTATGATCCACAGAGCTGTAGCTAGGGTTTTCAGTGCTCAGGGACAACTGAAGGTTTTGCACCCCCTTCTGTATGCCAAGAATGAAAAAATTTAATTCTAAAGTTTTGTAACATCAATTTGGCATCCCATGGATGATGCGCCAGGGGGCAGATGTCCCATCTTGCTCCACCACTGATGATGCATTGAGATATAAAAGATGAGTATTTTAAACTGTTTGCTTTCAATTTCTTTATTAATAGAAAAATTCCTTTCTATAAATATCTGTGCATATGATAAGATTAGAAGCATTTTTGATATTCCATGCTTGTGTCTAGTGAACAGTAGAGACACCAAAGGGAAGATAAACATGTTAAGAAAAAGACTTCTAGTATCTAGAATGTAAGTAAAACATTCAAATATTATGTTCCCATTGTTTTGAAAATTCTCCAAAAAGTAAAAGTTCATCACAAGCTTTCTGTAAAATGCATCCATTAGGTGTTAATACCATGAAGACATTTTTCTGAAATCTTCTAGATTCATGGGTCTATAAATCTTGCCTTCAAATCCATCTAAACTTTCCAAGTTGCAATGTCTAAAATCTTAAAGAAAATTTACCATTACCAATTCTGTAACAGCAAAAAGCAAGAAATATGTTGAAAAAAATCAGAGGAAAAAAGTGTAAAATTAATTTTATAGAGAAAATTGATGCGTATTGAGATAATTATATGTGAAAAACTTTTACTATGAAAAAATTTTTAAAAAGCATCTGTAATTAATATATAGCTATTTTGCTTTTGCTACGAATTGTTTCATAAACTGAGCTAAAGTTCAAATTAAGCATTTATTACCTTGTTTATTTTTTAGATTCAAATTATTATATACTAAGTTGCCAAAATGGAAAGTAATGTCACTTTATAAAATGATAGCAAAAAATAAAAAGTTTCACTTTAATATTATTTCTTGAATACAATTTCAATATATTAGCATTATTTTAATGAAATTATTTCAATGCTATAATGATGGAAAAAATATCATTGAAAAATTCCAAGATTTCTAAAATAAAAATTTTCTATACAGACTGATCTTAAAATTGCCAAAATGTTGATAAATCGCCAAATTTGGAACCTATTAATAAAGAATTCACATTACCAAAGCCAAAGTTGTTAAAAGAGCTTTCATTAGAAAAAATGAAATAATTTTAAAATGCTTATGTTTCACTTTTTGCTCAGAAACTTGAGTATCCCACTGTTTATATTAGAAATGTGACATGACTAACACATAGCAAAACTGGAAGGGAATGGCCAACAAATTTAATAACTGAACAAAATAATAATTATAATTAAACCTTATTATTTTTCACTTCTTTTAGTAGATATAATGATCAGT